TTTGAACTGCAGGAGATTGTCTTGACCATGTCTACATGCCTAAATGCACTGAGTTGCTGCCATGTGATTGGCTGCTTAGAAATTAAGTGTTAACGAGCAGTTGGACAGGTGTACCTGTATATATATATATATATATATATAGGAAACCAGTTGACAACTTTTACCACTTGATTCTTTTTGTGCAGAGCAGGCATTTTTTCCTTTTATTTGATCCTAAAAGCTTCCAGATTTGACACAAAACTAACAGGTTTAACACAAATCCAGTCAAGGCGTTTGGTGAAGCTGTGCATGCCACAGAGGAATTCTCTATTTTAGTGCGCTCAGATATGTGCAAAGACACACAACAACTGCGATCGTGCCCTTTTGTTTATCTCCCTTCAGTACATAGTGTGCAGCAGCACTCCAGTTGTTCTCTCCTCAGGTTACTTCCCTCACAAGATCCCCGTATAAGTAGGAAGAGAAATAAATAAATTAGAGGTCAGTGATGGCATCTGGCTCAGTCTGTGAAGAGTATTTTCCCTGTGAGCAGACTGCACAAAGTGCAAAGGATAAGAGGCCACATCTGTGGGTGTGCAGAACCGACTCACCAGGGAGTTAAAGGAGTTCCACTGCCCTGACTATGCCTTAACTGTCTTGTCCTAAAGTGAATCCTAAATTTGTTTGTTTATAGTTTTCAGATGTGTTTTGGTATCAAACTTTTTCAAGACGGGAAATGAATGATGGGATAGAAAAGAGGAAAACAGTCCAAGAAGATGAGTGGCTACATACATGCCTATAATGTCAGTTTTTATTTAAAGGTTGAAAAAAAATCATTGCTTAAAGATGAGATTTGATGAGTTTCTACTCCTAGAGTTTCCCTTTTAAACCAATCTATTTCATTTTTCTTTATCATTTGGATGAATATTATCTATAGAAAAACACATATATCAAATAAAACAGTCTGATTCTTATTTATAAACAATACAGTCAAATTCAAATACATATTAACATATTAGAACATTAGAAATGATGACTTTAATTGATTAGATGATGCTCCGAAAACATACAGAAAAAAAGATGTGTGTTGTATTATGTATACCTGGCAATAAATAATTGGTAGTGCTTCTCTTTTCTTTTTTTTTTTCATTATTCAATGGATCAGTGCGGTGTGACTCCAGGGCCATTAGTCGTTGATCCTGTTGTTGAGTTTGGTGTTCAGTTCAGGGCAGGAGCTCTGTTGGACCCACATAAGATGCTGATGAAAACAGGTTGGTATTTTGTACATTTAAAACGTTTGATTGGACTTTACAATCTGCTTATGCTTGTTGTCTTCTGCCTGATTACGACTGGGTCAGGAGGTAGCAGTCTTCCCTCTCCTCTGGGAAGCATCCTCCAGCTTCTCCAGTGTGTCCTGGGTCATCCCCTGGGCTTGCTGCAGGTGGGAGGCATCCAAGATGTATCAAGTAAAGATTTCTGAGCCACCTCAGCTGACAATATTGTCTTGATCGCTTTACCATTTTCTATTATGTTAGTTTAATTCCCCTAACCCTGTGATGTACAGTAAAACTATTGTTTAAGTCTCATAGAGCTCCCCCAGCTCTACATAACTAGAATCCAAAGAAAGGTGTACATTATCCTTGCTGAACTACACAACCATTTTTACTGTAATTAGAGATAATTGACATCAGTTGGTTGATATCAAGGAAGTGCAATACAAAAAGATGCTTGTCCCTGTGGGTGTCAGCCTTCAATAAGTTGATCCAGTACACTTCAGTAAGGATTGTAGTTGCCTATGTTTGTATCCTATATGTTGTGGCTTTGTATTTCTTTCAGTTATGTTTTTAATTTATTGGTGTTTCTTCTTTGCTTGGTGAAAACACTGCCCCCTTGGTCATGAAGAAGCTCATTTAGGTTGCTCGATCTTGAAGATGTTGTAGTCCCCTGCTTTTGAACACCTATTTCTCAGATGTTTTTCATTAGAAATAAATTATATCAAAATGAACACAAATTCAAAAAAAAATTTTTTTCACGCAATGTGTAGGATGATAAGATAGATAGATAGATAGATAGATAGATAGATAGATAGATAGATNTAGATAGATAGATAGATAGATAGATAGATAGATAGATAGATAGATAGATAGATAGATAGATAGATAGATAGATAGATAGATGAAACAGAATATTCCATCTACATAAAGAGTAATGCAAATATTAGTGCTGTATATTTTCATTTGTGTCATATCAATTTTGTTTATTAATACATAATTTCTCAATCTTTTGAGTGCATGAAACTGAAACCAATTCCTTGGAATCTTTGCCTTAAGCATTGATTATGATTAATTCAGCAGGTTTCTGAGATGTTCCTTAGATGATCATTTGATAAAGGCACAGAGTTATTATCAATATATTCAATTCTTTAAAAACAAACAAACAAACAAAAAGATATTAGCATGTACCCCACTCTCCCAGACTCCATGCTGGGCTACCAGTACCACAAGTATTTCAGTCCCAAAGTGCTCTTAAAAAAAAAAAAAAAAAAAAAAAAAAGACTTTTTATGTTTTGCGCCTCTTACTGGATTGTGTCTGTTACTGCAGCCAATTTGAAGAATTAACTGAAATCTTTTGTTTTCTCCTCAGCTAAACTATTAATGACAAGTCTGATGCTAAGTGAAAGTATGAGTTGAATGTTTTTTTTTTCATGAAAGAACACACTAAAGCTTAGCACATTGTGAGAGTTATTATATCCATGCTGTTCTGTTGAACATTTCTGTGTTTAGCAGACAGGAGACAGGAGACTTTAAACTGGGTGGATAACAGAAATCCAAAGCTTAATAAAAAAGACAAAACTATAAAGGTAACATATCAGTGTGCAATATAATTTGATTAACAGAGAGGTGTTATTACGTGGTCCTGTCTCAATAACACAGATACAGAACAGGGACAGTTTAACTTCAGTATTTGATCTATTTTACCACAAAGTCTAAGTGAGCGTTTCCATGAAAGATATCTGTATCATGTTATGACTTAGAGAGCTGCACTTTATTCAAAATTATAATAATTTTGAAATTTTAAGTAGAATATTAAATGCAAAGCATTATTCAAATGTAGTATTTGGTAGGCTGTTATATTTAGCTGGCGTCTCTTCATGCTAAATACTAGTTTATGTTCATACTGGATATAGATTTTGGTGACTAGGATGCTAAAGCTAATGGGGATCAACTGAGTTACCATTATAAAGGAAAAGCTAGGAGGAATTGCTAAATACTGTCATCTCTATCAATATCACATTAAAAAATAATGCAATAAATTGATCCAAACTCAGGAAATATTTATAGGCTGCTATGTTTGCATAGGCATGGGCACACTTGCAGTTAGCTGTAACACACACAACATATCTAATCCTTACAAAGATTTAAAAAAAAAAAGCTTAGCTCGAGAATTAAGCTTAAGATAATTTATTTCAAACATCTGAATTTACACTATATTAATAAAAAATAAATCTTGTCTTTATCCCCCTCCTCCAAATTGAGCAGTTTTTTTCAAATTTTTGAACATCCTTTTTTGAGGTGTATGCAGTCTTTGTGGGGACCCACTAACGATCACTTCTCCCCTCCTAACTATGATGTTATGCAAGTGATACCTGAGGGATAAGTTCATCAACTGTTTTCATTAAATTGAATCAAGATTAGATGAATAAGTCATTGCAACTTCAAAGTCCTTAACTACAACTACAGACCAGATCATTCAGATAGACAGCCTTTCAGTGAACCAGTGTCAGTCTACCCCCACCTGTAGACCCCACTAAAAACTGCATGCACAACAGCAAACATGATGAGTCATGGTCAAACCTTGAAGCTGCACATCCATGAATACCAATAAGGGTATACACTGGGTTTAAGAGGGGGAAAAAAAAAAAGAATCAAATGACCTGACCTTATGAATATTGAAAGAGTTCTCATTTTATTTCAGTTTGAATTAAAGCTTATAGAGCTTCTTTACAATCAGCCCTGTGATTGGCTGACACGTTTCCCATAAAGCCTGACTGCAGACTACCCAGGAAGTTCCAGACTGTAGTTTTATCTTAGCAAACAGTGACTGTGCTAATTCAAGATGAGTAGTCATGCTGCCACTCTGGAGGCCCTTTATCAGCAGAGCCAGGAGGCCGTGTTTAACAAGAAGCTCTTCGTACATTTATGAATCAGACGAAACGTTACAATTTGTGAGAAAATCCAGAGATATTCTATATGATAAAAAGGCAACAAAAGGATGAAGAGCGGCAACAAAAAAAGTTCAACATCACTGTGAAATTTTCAACACTTTAATTTAGAAATATAATAAACATAAAAGTCAAATCACCAATAGAAATGTTCTCAATACAGATAACTGACCAGAGAAATAGATTTTTCTTCCTTTATTCAGTTTACTGAAGCAAATGCTTTAATGCAGAGATAGGGCATTAAAGCATTTGCTTAACTATCACAAACAACCTACAAGGTATGACGTCATTCGCTAAGGTACATAAGGAGAATAATGTCCTTTGAAAGTTTATCTACATGATGCAGCAGAGCGAGAAGGTTCAAAGATAAGCAGAAAAAGAGGCCCCAATGTCCTAAAGTTTGTTACATTACATACAGAGTCTGCATAAAGCAATTAAGGCTTTCAGCATACAAACAGTCTAAGCAAACACTTTACACATTTGAAATTAGTTTATTTCTTGATTTGTATCCATTCATGTCATTAAAAAAGATAAAGAAAACAAACTGCTTTATCTTAAACTGAACTGACAGATGTATCCACATTCAACACAACCATAAACCTAGATGGAGATGGAGGAGTTCAATTTATTTTGTTTACAGTCTGAGGAGGCATGCTGTAATATATGTAGTAAGATTCCCGGTTCCTTTTCTTTCAGATAAACTTTAGATTTGTAGAAAGAACTGGTTGTTGTTTACAGTGCAGGGTAGACAGTCAGCAAACCCATCAGAGGGGAAAGGAGGAGGCACTTCCAGGAATTGTTTTTAGGCGTAAAGAGGCTGGTAGCCGCTCCTTCGGCTGCTGCCTCGACAGGTTATCACACAGACGCTCAGCATCCCAAAGAACTGAAAGAGCAAACAATCATAAAGAAATGTAAATGTAAATTGCAAATACGGATATTTTTATACACTGTAAAATACTTGCTGGAATATGGATAATATATATGTTTTCATTTAAATTGATACATTAAGCACATTTTTTAAAAAGCATTTTCTAAGATGATCTATTAAAGCGACAAGATTTGGGTAAGGTTTGAGGGAACACAAGCATTTCATAGTTTGTTGAAATAAAAACTAAAAAATCCTCTCAGTAGAATCGGGTTAATATATTACCTTGTTTGCCCAACCTTTAAACTCTTGATAATTTTGAAGGGTTTAAGATCAGAAGTTTGTTATAGAAACTCCAAAACACTGACTTTGTTGCTCATAAGGCACTTTACAACCGATTAAGGCAAACAATAGTGTGTCCCTAGGACACCATTGATTCTAATGAGCATATCAGTCCTTCCTAGTCTGGCTAGCTAAACCGAATTACGCTGTAATACAGTCTGGCAAAGGCAGGACTTTATGATGTGTCACTCTCAGTGCCTAACTGCTAGGATAACAGCAAGATGGCGACCGCAACGGAGTAACATTTTAATGATGCCCTTTCTGATGTCATGAGGGAGATTGAGCTAACTATATAAACCTCAACAACATGCAGCTTTAGTGTCATTTCTTTTTACAAAAGGACACATTTAATATTCTCAGCTTGACATGTTTCACATATTACAAAAACAGAACGCGTTAATTGGAGTTTCTGTGTCACATCCGTAGTTATGATTGGTCTGTACCAGGTCTTTATCAGACTGAGAAGACATGTAAATGGTGTATCAGCCTGGATGGTAAGGCTTATGTCCTTCCTTCGTGAAAACACCCCAACTATAAGAAACTGGTCTGCTTTGCTGTGCAGGTTTCTCCATTTTTCCTCTAATGAAACAATGGTGATTATGATAAAGTACTTAACTTCTTGTTTGAGCAGAACAAAGGACATGCCTCCAAAAATTGAGATCTTGTTGCTGGGTAAATTTATAAACGATGCAATGGCCTCTTCTTTTCTGAGTGGCATTTAGTCCATGTCAGGAAAAGAGTTGTTTTCCTGTGGATAATGACTCTAATATCAGTTTTAGTTGGTATCTTTGTAAAATCCTTTGCTTTTGCTTTGATATACTTATTTCACATTCATCTATGGAACACAGAATGTGTACTTTTCTGAAGGCTGGTTTGCTGTGTATTTGAAGTAACACAACTTTATAACCGTCTTGCTCTTTTCATAAGTATTTAGCAAATTGAAGGGATTTTGGTAATCCTATCTGATCAGACTAAAGTTCTAAAAGAAGACACTAAAGGGATAATTGCATAATTTTTGCTTGTTTAGCTTTCTTCAACAACAACAACAAAAAAAAACAAGAATAATCTAATCAGTGGAGTGTGTAACTGCTGAAATGACTGAGAGAACTCCACAAAGGACCCTTTTTATTTTTAAGAGTAGATGGTGACAAAGCTCATATTGTACATGAGGATTTTCAAAAACCGGTGTAAAATTTAATTTGACTGCTTCCATTCAAGAGTTCCCAACAATGTGGTTATCTGCACTAACCAGCCGACCTCCCAAACAGTCATTAAATAAGTGCCTAATCTAGAGTGTTTGAAAGTATAAAATATCAGTTTTCCTTCCATTTTTACATAGTGCTGTGTGGCAGGATGCAAAAAGTAGCTTCTAGAACAACTAAATATAGGTTACCTTGATGACGGCAAACCCGAGCACAACCAGCATGCCGTAAGTCAACGCGTGCTGCAGGAACGTCTCCAGTTTTTTCTCACATCCCTAAAAACCAAATAAAATGAATTCACTTTAGAAATTATGTGAAAAGTCTTGCAGAATGTGATACACAGAAGAATTAGCTGGTGAAAACGATATTTTCATTTCATGCATGTCTAAGGCCTTTTGAAATGAAGTCAACAAACAATAAACTGTTGGCAGCTGTTTCAAATCGGCAGAGTAAACATAAGGATCTACCTTTAGTAGGGAATACACAGTCTCTTCTGTTTTACTAATGGTAACCTTGCTAACTAAAGTAAACATAAAATGGTAAACCTAGTTAAATCTTTAAAAAACACTGCAATGGTGACTTCTGAATTACAACCATAGTGTGACATCATTTTTGCTACATAAGATTTTATTGTGAATAACCAATGTCTTTTTATGGCAGAGAGGCTGGAAAATATTTCATATACTTTTAACTATTTATAGTTTTAGCATCAAAAATCAACTACAAAACTGACTAATACAGCTGCTGAGAAAATGTATAACACAAGATA